CCGTTTTAATCTTATATTTAAAAATATTAAAGATATACTCTTAAAAAATATCAGTATTGTCAAAATATTGCCAATCATTACCGTGGTAAGTGAGTCGGAGAGCCCCCCTCCCTAAAAAGAAATTGTTATTCGGACCCAAAAAAATTTTCTCTTTCCCAAATAAGAGTTTTAGACTTTGTGTTGTAAATGCATCTGAAACTGAAAAGTCTTCAATGAGAGTAATATTTGCTATCACCTTTTATCAGTCTTAAAAGTGTTTTACCTTTATCAGTTTTAAAAGTGTTTTGCAAAATATGGTTCTGTAAACTATATTTTGTAAGAAATGCTTTTGGTATACTCAAGTAGACTTTAAATACTTGCTTTAATAATATATTTCTTTTTTATTAATTTAAATCAAATGTTAATCTATTTAGTTTTGCATGAAAAAGTGAAAATAATTTGTGAAAATAAAAATTATTTTTTGGAATGCTATATACAAAACTGTAGCTGTAAATTAGAAGTTACTGGAAATAAAGAATAGTGTTGGCCATCGAGGATGACTTTGATAAAGTGGTTAGGAAGAAACGATTTGATAACCTTAAATACTTTCTAAGGTACACCATATGAATAAGCTTATAATGAAGACCAGCATTTCTTTGTTGAAAGCTTTAGATATGTCACGCTAAAATCACGCTTAAATCTTTCAGTCACAGCAGTTAGCAAGTCGGCCGTAGAGCAAGAGGGTCGAGAATGTTAGAAATCTGGGATGTTAGAAATCTATTTAAAAAGTGCTTGACTGAGTCAAGCACTTTTTAAATAGTTTAAATAAAATTGAAGAGAGTTCTGAAGAGCAATTTTGTAAGACTGTGACAGGAATGTTGTCTGGACCACAAGCCGTAGAAGAGTTTAGTTGAGATATGACTTTAGCAACGGAAGCTGGACTGATTTGAATGTCTAACAATGGGTTTACTTGTTTATTTAGAATGGAAAGATGCAAATGGCCATAAGGTTCAATAGTTGAATTAGAAGAAATATTCTATGCAAAAAGTTTTACCTTATTCTTGGGAGAGGTAGTAAGATCAGTCCTATAAATAAGAGATTCCATCTCTCATTCACTCTCAGGGACCTACTCTTGCTAATGACACTGTTGAAGATTTTTCAAAAGTCTCTCGAGCCTAACTTCAAAGTCAAGATGCGAAATATAGTAAACTGAGAATAATGGTGATTAGCATCAGACAGCTCCTTTTTAAATTAATTTCTGCAATGATAAATGGATGTTTGTTCTTAAGAGAGTTGTCCTTTTGAAAAAGATGAAAAAAATAATTACGATTAGATATAGCAAATTTATCAGATGAGAGAAAAAATGCACCGGCCCAAGAACCGTCACAAAAAAAAATGAAAATTACAAAAATGAAATCAGTCAGCTTTAGTGTAGTGGTAAGTAGTGCGAAGATAGTGTGAGTCCTAAAAAGAAATACGAGATAAAAGATTTATAGAGATCATTGATAGACATCATTAACTAAAATCTTGTAGCAATGTGTAATAATAATAAACTAATCAAAATAATAATAAACGAGGATAATTTGAAAATTACTTAAAACAGTGAAAGAAAATTAATCTTACAGTAACGCTATTTCTGAGATTTATAAATAGTACAAATACTTCTAACACTTACTGCACTTACCACCTACTGCCTATCTTTATTACTATTTTCAAAGTGCATTATTTCGCATCACAAGCACGTTTAAACTTTTTAATCTTTGCTTATTAATACCTTATCTTTAATTATCTGATAATTATCTTTACAGTGCTGCTTCGTTTTTTTTCCAAGTTATCGATGCATTCGTTTTCTACAGTTTTATTGTTTCTTGGATGACATAATAAAATATTTTTATTTGAGGCATGGTAAAATGTGTTGTTTTATTTAAACCTGTTACAACAGACTTGCAAATACTAAGTTTTAAAATTAACTAAGGCAACCACAACCTGCCATCTTTAATCGGAGGTAACTAACCGCTAATACATTCTTTTGTTTTAGCATGACATCTGTCAAATTATTATTAACATTGTTAATTATTAATCTGTTTGTTAATTAACTTGTGTTTGCTTTAAAATACAATTAATCCTATTGAGGAAAGACAATTAATTCTAATTCAATTCCAAAATAAAAAAGTCAACGAGAAATTGCAAAAGTTGTTAAAAGTCTACAGTGCAGCATATTGTAAAACGTTATCAAAATAGAAAAAAAAAATAAAATGAAAATAAGTCCCAAAAGTAGTTTTACAATAAGAGAAGAACGGTGGATTGTCTGAACTTCGCGAGATAATCCATGTTTAAGGGCACTAAAGCTTGTCATTGAGTTAAAAAAACAATTTGGAAAAAATGAGAATCCAGAAACAATCTGTAGAGTTTTAAGAAAAAACAACTTAGGTGGTTTAAGTTTAGGACTTAAGTGGTTTAAGTTTAGGTGGTAGAATGACTAGGAGGAAACTATTGTAAGCAAGCGAAATAAAAAAAATTGACTCAAGTATTCCAACGATAACAAAAACAAAGATTTTAACTTCTGGAAGAATGTTTTATTCACTGATAAAAGTAAACATCTTTGGTTCAGATGGTCGAATAAATGTATGGGGAAGAGCGAATGAAGAGACGAAACCTCAACATTTAACACCAAGCGTAAAACATGGCGGTGGTCATGTAATGGTATGGGGTTGTTGCTTAGCTAATGGGGTGGGCAATTTATATTTTATTTAGAGCAATATGGACAAAATCATGTACTTAAACATTTTAAAAGAAAACTTAACGAATATTGTTAAAAATTAGACATAAAAGATAATTTTGTGCTTTACCAGGACAACGATGCCAAACATACATCATAGATAGTGCGAGACTAGTTATTGTACATTTTTCCTAAAGTGATGAAAATTCCGCCACAGTCTCCTGATATTGATATTATTGAAAATTTATGGCATTAACTAAACTTAGAAATTCGTAAACATTATCATAAATAATAAAAATGATTTTTAAAAAAATGCATTTCTGGAAGAGTAAAATAAAATAACCCAAGAATATACAAACAATTTAGTGGAATCAATTCCTAATAGACTAGAATTTGTAATTAAGTTCAAAGGAAATCATACCCGTTATTAGTTTTATTTATTCATGATTTTCTTTTGGATTTTTTTTTTGTTGCACCATTTTCACTATTATGTAGTTATACTTGAGTTAAAAATGATTTTTTGTCATATTGTTTTTAGTTAATAAATGGAAATTATTAGTTAATATTTTAATATTTTTTTTTTTAAACTATATTAACTCTAATGAAGAAAACATTAAGTGTGTTATTTCTTGGTAACAAATTCTTTGGCGCAAAAAAGATCACAGAACTGATTTTTAAAAATAAGTAACTTTTTTGGAAATGCAGTATCATTAAGCCCTGGTATTTGCGATAATGTTATATTATTTACAAAATTTGATAAAAGCTATCACATAAACCTTAGTTTGTGATTTTCTGCTAGAAATTGATTGTTATCGAAGTAAATATTCTTGAGTTTTTCTCATTTTTTCTTACCCAAATTTTTAAATAGTTTAACTTTGTTACTGTAATAGTGCAAAAATGACGGGTAAATAATGACCGGTTAATAATGAAGTAAAATAAGATTTTAAAAAAATTAAAGTATTCTGAGCTAATTACTTGTAAATTAATATAAAATCTTAAAGAGATAATTAGTATCACGCTACCTTGACATTAATACCAAAGTTAAACGGTATCGTGATTTTATGAGAAGTATTTTAAGCAACAGTTCTACAAAGTTAAAATATTGACCAATGAGTCTCCGTCCCCAAGCTCTTCATGTTAGATTTCTTAGACCATTGCGGTGGAGGGGGTGGCATTAACGGGGATGTTTAGAGGGTCACATTACATTATTTTTAAAATAATCGGCTAGTCGGGTATTAGTTAATCAAATTTTAGTTTTGAGGATTTTTTTAAGGAGCCAGTTGGTACTTTTTATAGGTTCACCTCCATTTACCCCCTCCCCGCCCCTCATTTAGTTTGTTAAACCGCCTCTGTCCATTGCAGTTATATATTTAAGAGATTTCGATATGGCTAAGTTTTAAAGTAAAGAACTTTATTTACAACCTTATTCAAAAGAGTTTTTTTTTCCTAACACTTGGTATTTTAATATTGCACTTGATGTAGGAGATAAAAGATTTATAGAGATGATTGATAGACATCATTAACTAAAATCTTGTAGCAATGGTGTAATAATAATAAACTAAACTAAATAATAATAAAAGAGGATTATTTGAAAATCACTTAATAAAATGTAGTTCCCAATGAATAAAAATTGTACTATAAATCTATCCTTTGGGGCAGAGAATCAATAAAACAGTGAAAGAAAATTAATCTTTCAGTAACACTATATCTGAGATTTATAAATAGTACAAATACCTCTATAGCACTTATTGTACTTAATTGATGTCGTTAACTTTTGTGATAGATAAAAATAAAAGTAAAATTAAAAGTAACGCTATTTCTGAGATATATAAATAGTACAAATACTTCTATAGCACTGACTGAACTCACTTGATGTCGTTAACTTTTTTGAAAAAAAGGTATAATTAAAATGCCGACCATGTTTATTAAACTTTTAATGATATTCAGTGTTGTTTTAAAAAATAATAAAAATAATTCTTGTTTTTTTATTTTATTTAAACTTAAACCATAGGAGCTGTTGGTTAGGTGTGATGGCGTATAATTACATGTAATGGTAGGTTACGTGTAATGGCACACTTTTACTTTTTTTTATATGGATTAGCTAATAAAAAATGGAACTGTTAAAAAATGCAACGTTTAGTATTTTATATGTTATTGGGAAAGTCCCCATGTCAATATATTCAATTTAAGTTAAGTATTTAATCAAAGACACCTTACATGTGTGCACTCTTTGGATATCATACTCAAAATTAGCACACTTTCGCACCGCGTCAATTTTTATAAAATATAACTCAATACATACCTTAAAGTGTAAAATTTCATCAAACACAAGATCCATTTGGTTCACAGTTTCAAAGTGGAAAAGCTAAAGTTCAAAATTATAAACTAAAATAGCAAGTTACAAACTAAATGTAATTAAAAAAAAAAATTTTAAGGTTTTTAACTGTTTGTGCTGTAATAAATTATTTTCTTTTTAAAAAATATAACAGGTCAATGTATATTTGAAACACAAAATACACCAGGAATAAATCAGGCCAGTTGTTTTTTTTTAAATTTTATCAATTGAGATTTGCTTCAACAAGCTTCAATTGTTAAAAAACACGCTTTCAATTTATTGGAAGGAAAAAATTTTAACAAGCTGCTAAATAAATATTAAAAAAAAAAATTGTAAAATAATTTAGAAACGTGGTTGTTGGGTAAACCAAGTTTGTAGATTACAAAAACTTTATTACAAGTTTATATGATGCTTTAGAGAAATTTTGAGAAACTTGGTATAACAGGTATCCGCAAGTACCAGCAATAATTACAAATTTGAACCAGTAAATAAAAATAATTGTGTCAGTTGTATTTCAAACGATAATAAATTTTAACGCAAATTTAATAAAAGTTACAATTTCTCTGTCACGTGTTATTCCTTGAAATTTTGTATTGTTTATTTTAGTGAAACAGGAAAATCTTTTCATAGATTTTATTCATCCTTGTGGTATAGGCTGGTCTTTTTAGAAGAATAGGTACTTGAAGTGGATTGGATAAATGGATTCTAATATAATTAAGTTAGATTTTAAACTTTTACATCAAATACTTTTTCTTTAGGTAAAATCAGTTTTTCTTGCGATACAATAAATTTTTAAGCCAAAAAACTTACGCAAATTTAAAAATGTGTATATTGACTTGGATGTACCGGATTCGCAACCTTTAGTTCATTTCGGTTCCGATCGGAAATGCAATATTTCAGGCCATAAATACTATGTTGTTTTTATAATTTTATATATTGAAAGTTTTAACCTGCATAATTATATTTAAAATTATTTTTTTATTTTCTATTTTTCCATTTAGGTTAAAGTTGAAATATTTACTGTAATAAGCATCCTATATTTTTTTAACTATTAAAAATGTAAATAACATTTTAAATGAGACTATATTATATATTATGTTATAAATGGAGATTATATACAATATATACATATATATGTATATAGGGCCGCCGAGAGAGGGGGGCCACCGGGACAGTTTGTCCCGGGTGGCAGATATCCAAGGGGCGCCAAATGAAATGTAGATAAAAAAAGAAAAAGGTCCTTCATATATAATATAGGGAAAATTTGATAAATAAGACCGCCAATCAAGATTGCTGTCCCAGGCGGTGTGACAGCTCTCGGCGGCCCTGTATATATGTATATTTATATATATATATATATATATATATATATATATATATATATATATATATATATATATATATATATATATATATATATATATATATATATATATATATATATATATATATATGTATACACATACATATATATATATATATATATATATATATATATATATATATATATATATATATATATATATATATATATATATATATATATATATATACACATATATATATATATATATATATATATATATATATATATATATATATATATATTAAATATTATAGGTTATAAAAGGAGACTATATATTATACGTTAAAGGTAAAAAATTTATATTATATACTCACGATGCTGAGGTGCATGTTTGATTTTAATCTTGAAGATAAAAAATAACATAAATGTAATTATCGTTTTAATTTACAATTCCGGCAAATCTGTTTCCGGCCGGAATTTTAAAATTCCATTCCGGTACACCCGTAATATTGTCCCAATTTCTTTCATTTTAGGAAAAAATTATTTATAATAGTTTTTAATGTTTAAAGTGTATATAATATATATAAATTATGACAGTTTTTTGCTTCCAAAGTTGTTACCCTAAAAAAAATATTTCCAGCGTTGAATTTTTAATGTCAGTCGGGGAATCATAAATTCAAATGTAGATATGATATGAAACTTTTAAAATCTATATTCTCGGTTTAATCAGAAACCACGTTTTTAAAATATTGTACTACTGCATCAAAATGCAATACGCCAATATTTGCTGACAAAATACTGTTTTTAAATGATAAAACTTTAATATTTAGTTAAGTTACTCATGAGCGATACCAAGTATAAAGAATAAAAAAGTTTTGAAATAAATGATTGGCATGAAATGACAATGTTTTTAGCAAAACAAGGTTTGCTTTTCAGAGAACATAGAGAATCAAGATCAACATCAAGATTGCAGAATAAGTGAACGTTAAGGTACGGCCTTTAACACTGGCAGTTTTCCTAATTCTTTACTAGTCAAGAATGATTTAACTTTGAAAAAATATTTTGATTTTTAAAAAAATGGAGCTGTACTTAAGCCATGATATGACTTATATTTTATCTGAAAAACAAAATTTTTTCTGCAACAGCAAAAAATCTTTTTTTGTTATCAAACTATTTCTGCATCAATACATACATGTGTGCGTGTTTATGTATATATATATATATATATATATATATATATATATATATATATATATATATATATATATATATATATATATATATATATATATATATATATATATATTAAGCATTTTCAAAGAACATATTTATATATATCTTATATATATATACATAGTCTATACCTCATCCCAATATGGATTATTTGTTTGACTTTTAGATTCTGTTGATTTTGTTTCCCCAAAGCAAACTACACTGCATGTCACATCTGATTTTGTTCCCGAAAGATGCTTTGCTTCAATAACGTTTACAGTAACTTTTACATGAACATCTTTTCGTTGATGTCTAGTTTCAATTCGGACTTTAGGATGCGAGTTACTAAAAAGTCAATACATATATTTCATATAATATTTAATTACTTAGTATAATTGGCTATATTATAGTCAACGATATTAAGTATATTTATAAAAAGTAATATATTTTTAAATATATGAATATATTTTAGAATTTGTTTCACCACTGTTAATACTTTTAATACCAATTTTAAAAAATTAGTAAAAAAATATTATTTCTTAAAATAAGTATATTTTTTTCCTTGAAAAATTTCTTTGGTATAAATTAAATTTTTTTATGAAAAAAAATATTTTGAAAAATCACACAAGAAAACTTTCTATTTTTGGATTTGATGTTTTTACTACAACAACAATTATGCTTCGTTTTACCTTTTCAAATTTGAACTATTTTTTAAAAACTAAATTTACTTTCAAAAGGCCCTAAGGACTAATATGATTGAAGTAAATTAAACTTTTTTTACTTACTAGTGTGGTTTTAATTTGTCAGTTTCCTCGTTATCATTAATATCTTTTACAGATTGTTTTCTTTTCATGCCCATATTAAGTTCAAAATCTGATTTTTCAGATATATTTTTGTCTACGTGTTCGGAATCTTCAAACAGACTAACTTTTTCTTCAGGCTGATGAAAAAAGTTAAACTTTGTTATCCGTGGTATCTCTCTGACGTACATCAACTCAAATGAAATTACGGCCTATAAACGGAAAAATATAAGTTATATTATTTCACTATAGTAAAATCAGTGATTATTATTAGCAAGATATCCAAGTTAAAATTTTTTTTTTTTTTTCATAATTAACATGCTAAAGATCTTTTTATTTATTTTTTTTAAATAATTTTATGATTACATAACAATAGCCTTAAAAAGTTAAAACTAAATTTTTATAAATGTTTAGCAAAAAGTAAAAAAACATGCCGATAACAGATTTCTTGTCTGTGACTCCTATTATTACAGTTAAACTCTTGTGATTCGAACTCCTATAATTAAAAAGATTTTAAATCGAAAAATTTCTTCGGTCTCTTCAGCGTTTAATACTTAGGATTGAATTCCTATGATTTGAAAACTCTTGTGACTCGAGCATATTTTGAGATTCTTTGAGGATTTAAATTACATGAGTTCAACTGTTATTAGTTGAGATCATTTTGGGGGATTGGTTTCTTTAGAGCTAACTTGTATTAGATGTAAGCTAACAATAACAGACTTGCAAGAATTACATTAACTTTATTTGTTGCTTTTATAAATCTTTTGAAAATGATGGTAACCCTTTAATATCTGATGGTAACCCTTTAATGTATTTTATATAATTGTGCAAGATTTGCTGCCACAGATCTGTTTCAATTTTATGTTGGAGCAAAGAAGTGTTATGAAAAACAGTTTGGCAACGCAAAACTTAAAAGTTCCAAGTTATTGAAATAAAGTAAAATGTGTGCTTTATTGATTATAGCTTTTTGACGAAATTGGACTGAATTTAAAAGTAAAGTTCAATTTTGCTTATGAATTTGACAAGTTGAAAAAAACCGACAAGTGTTTTATCTTTATATTAATGGATATCAAAAACATGCTGGTATATGCGTTTAAATTTGCACTTTAACAAAAAGGCAAGTTTTGTCTCTGAGCATGTTAAAAATGCCAGTAAAAAATGCATTTGAAACGATTGAAAAAAAGCCTAAAGATTTTAAAATAAACCTTTACTAACATATTCTAGGTTTGGATAAAGAAAGTAAAAATTTGTATATTATTTATTAATTTTGTCGCTCTCACAGTTTATTCTTGCTGTTTTTCATCTCCTTTACAAAAAAAAACAATTTGAGATGAAAAGTAAAATTGTTGGGGACGGTAATGAAGGTTCTGATGAAGAGAAAATGACATAAAATTTTTATTGTGTCATAAAAAATCAATGAATAAAGAAACTCTGGTCATAGTGGACTTGTTAGACAATAAAAAAATCCATACATCGTCATTATAAAACTACTCAAAGCATAATTATTTAATACCCAAAAAATAAAATTTTCCAAAGATTGCAAAAGATTTATATATATATATATATATATATATATATATTAGTAAATATAGCTCATTTGTACAATTGTGTAGCATTGTGAAAAGCATGTTTTACTATGTATGGTTGAGGTTCGAGTCCCGATGTATGCTAACATTTAAAACATATAAACAGGGCCGGCGCCAGAGTAATAACTAAAAATCTGGACAAAATTAGAAATTGTATAACATTTTAACGGAACAATCAATTTTAATAATTTAAAAAGTATAATAACAAAAAATATCTAAATAATAAAATTTAAAAAAACTATAAGTTTTTCATGCCATGACGACGAACGGTTTTTACTCTTGTAAATGGCAGCTAGCCGATGTACACGTTCTATGTTGATTTTCTTAATTAAAAACTTAATCCACTTTTTAAGTTTACCTAGATTTTCAGCTTGCCAGTTTTTATTTTACACTAACCTCATAAGTTCAGAACAAAAATCTTCAATTGGACGTAATTCTGGCACATTACCAGGGTTATTCTCTTTCGGTACAAATTCAATATTTTTAGCTTTTAGATAACCACTTTACGCGAATAATGTGACGATGCTAGATCAGGCAAAAAGACAATATTGTCATTTTTATGATGTTTTTCAATGAGTTTCTCTAATCTAACAAGACATTTTGAAGTATACACATCTTCATTGACTGCTTGGCCTGACGGAGTAATATACTGCTGAGAGATTCTTTTTGTCGAGATGCAATCTAAACAAGTAATTTTGGCTCAAATTTGTCTTTTCTTTTTAACTTTACATCATTTTATGCTGTATTTATGTCAGAAGAATAGAATCCAGAATTTCCAGAAATATTGGTGTTACTCAAATAAAAATAAGATTCATCGTCAATAATAACTACTTTTTTCCTGAAAAACAAAAACAATCTACGACACTTTGAACAAACAGCTACTTTTTGAGTCGTTGTTCTATTAGGTGTTTTAGTTTTTTTAAGATAACGAATACTAGTTTTTTTGTGAATAACTTTGCATATGTACGGTTGTGATACATGGAATCATTTTGCAAGACCACGCTGTGAAATACCATCCTTTTGATTAATCGAATTTTTGAGACGCTTTTTCTCTTTTGCAAACATCTTTTTTGCTTTGCGACCACTTCCAACTTTTCTTTCTGGTCCTTTTCTTTCTAGTCCTATATCTCCTTTCTTTGAAGTATATTATAAATAGTAGATTTTGGTATGTTCTCCATTCGAAAATGGTTTACAATAAAGCTTTTATTCTTATCTAGATGCAAATCCAAAAATGCGTACACTCGTTTTCTATGGGAGCCTTTGTTACAAGTCTTTTTTTTCATTTTTAATTATGACTAAATAATTTTTTTTTTAATAATACATTTAAAGAATTAAATTTGTAACAAAATAGAAGTAATTGCAATTATATTAAATTATTCTTTCATATTTTAATATTTACTCAATCTTTGTCCAGATTTTTATTTATCACATGTTATATGGCACTCTAGGCGAATCTGACACACTGTGCCTCCACTACCTCCCCAACTTACTTTCACAAAGGAATGCTTAAGTTATGTTATTACATTTTGTATTTACATTTGGCATAATATATATAAATGCATAAACATAAATAAGCGTATATTTGTGTAATTTTATAATATGTTAATAAACAACTTTAAAAACTTTACTTTTCGCGCTTTTGTTTTTGCAAATGTAGAAACGAGCTCCTTCAGTTCAAATATCAAAGCCTTTCTTGCTGCATAGATGTTCTCAAAAATATTTTTATAAGCTTGAGTTTTAAAAAACTTCGCTAACCGCTAGCCACAGAAATTGGAAGTTTTAAGAGGATTCTTAAAGCTATAAAAGTCTTGAGGACACAATCTGTTAGACTATTTTTTAATATAAAATTTAGTAAATCTAGTGGCTATGTACACCTTGCAACACGTCTTGAAATTGATTTCAGTTCACTTCATAGGTCAACTGCATCAATATCTTTAGAGTTTCCATGTTGCAAAGCTTTCTCAAGGTTCAAGCAATGTTTATTCCAAAATTCCTTGCTATTTACATTCTGTAAACTGTGAACATCATAGAAAAAACCAAACAACGAACTTATTGTTTGCTGTGTCAAAAACAACAAAGTAAAAGTTTATTTTGAATTTTTCTTTTGGACCTTGAATAGGTTTTTCATCTCCTTCACACGTAAATTGTTTATTCTTTTTTCTAATACGGGTTAATTTGATTTCAAAAAGTGCAGGTATCTCTAAACTGACTTCAATTTCAACTGTACCTACTAAAGTTTTCTTAAACTCCATTTCATTTCTGCAATTTACAAGAAATTTCTTTGTTTTTTCAAGATAGTTTATGGCGCCATTCATATCTAATTCATTTGCCTGAAATTGCTTTCTAGTCATACTGATTTCAAACAACACGTCGTACCACACAACCAGAGAAACAACAAACTTAAAACTAGAAATAGCTTTTCCAATAAACCGTGCATCTACCCGTGTTGAATTACCAGATGCTCCTGTTAAATTTGTCTCGTCCGAAAATCTCTGCCAGAGCATCGTAGATATCACCAAGGTTTTAAAGCACCATCTTGTTTCACTTATTGGTTTAACAGTAAGCTTAGAAATGAATTAGAAATGTCGTGTTAAAACTTCCCAGCGGCGTATTGATGCAGAAAAGAATACATAAACACGTTAACATATACACAAGCAACATTTAACAGCATCATTAACATTTAAATTCAATGTATGTGCACAGAAAGAAATAAACAATGCTCGGGAATTGAAATCTAAAATTCTTCGTTGGACACCCTTATATTTCCCCCTTATATTTCTGCCATTGTCATTTCCTTAACAGCGTAAGTTTTCAATAGATAAAGACAACTAACTGCTTCATAATAGTTTCAGCCATACCAGCACTAGTTGTCTTCTTAAGAGGCACAAATTCTAAGAAATGTTCTTTTATAAATGCTGTTACTACAATGCCATTTTCTGGATTTGAAATCACATCCACAAAGCGAATGATCATAGTCAATTTTTCAACATGGTAAGCGTTAGGTGTGCAAACAAAGTAAAAACATGTTTTACAATAAAGTTAAACAATAAAATTTTCTATAAATGAGTAATTAAATTTTTGCATTGTATTAACAAAATAAAAAGTATAAAAATAAAAATAAAATCGCATCAAATAAAACAAAAGTATCAAAGTTGATTCTTTTGTTTTATTTGAAGCGATTTAAAAAAGTACTTTTTTAAATCTCCAAATTTAATTCAAAATAGATTTAATAAATATTTTAGCAATTTTTTAAATATATATTTTTTTTATGAAGCTAGTTTTAGTGCCGTCCCAGAAAATTTCTTTATTCCTTTGCCTTAGATAATTTGTAAATAATTTTTTTTTAATTTATATATTTAACAAAGCATGTTATTTAAAAATGAAAGTAAATAAGGGAAGCTGTCTAAAAGTGATAAAAAAATTCTAATAATTTTGTGATACATAAAAAAAAATCTGACTGTTGGGATATCAATATGACGTAATTTATTAATTACATAGATAAAAAAAGTGTAATACTAATAATCTAAAAAAACTAAGTAAAAAAAACTTATGATTTAAACCTGAAAATTGTGCTCTCCTCCCCTCTCCCCTTTATTAGAGTCGGGATCCACAGAATCAAAAAAATGCCCCTTAATTCTTTCCTAGATGGTCTGGATCCATTAAATAAAAATGCGCCCCACCTCTCTTATACTCTCTTACTGTAACAAACGTTATTAAAACGATCGATTGACGTCGTCTGATCAGTGTGTAGGAAAGGTAAGCAGCCTCCTTACCTAACCACCTTTATTTTTTGTCTTGGTTATACTTACTAACTTGTTTTATTTACTTGCTACGTAATACAGTTATTATTAAAAATTACTACCAGCTACACTTCAATAAAAGTTACTTACGTTTAATACAGTATTATTTAAATCTACAAGATTATCTGTAATTTCTAACCATGGTTTGTTTAGCAAATTTTTAAGAAATACTTGAAACATTCCCACTTTTCTGAATATAAAAAAAAAGGAATAGTTAAACTTAATAATGAAGACGTAAATAATAAATAAACAAATAAAGGAAGACATAAATAATGATAAAGTTCTAAACCTGATATTATTTTGAGCAGAAAAAATTAAAAGCAAATAGCAATATTTAACTTATTTCAATTTGTTTGAATCCTGACATAAATTTTTGTAGTTAAAACAAAACCATTTTATTGATTTCAACTGTAAAGTTAATTTTTTTTAGTTAAAACTATTTATTTATATAATCTTTTTTTACGTTCCATTTTTCAATTCAGAGGTATTCCCAGCCAACATGTCCTATTGGGGCCAATATGGGTTTGCTCAAGTGGGCCCTATGATGGCTTTATATATGGGCCCAAAATGGGCCCCATATAGGCTAGCCCTTGAATAAAAAATATTTTATATTCAAGGGCTTGTCTATATGGGGCCCATTTAGGGCCCATATATGTAATTAAAAAAGCGTTAAATTCCATCTTATTTTCTAAATTTAAAACCATCCGATCGCGCGGTAATGAGGCATTATTTTTCGTGGAAAATCAGTAAAAAAAAAAATTAGTTTAAGTCAACTTAGCCGCATGTTTATTTAAAGACTTGGTCCATCAATAAAAAATAATCTTTTTCTAAAAATTTTCTTTTTATTCAACGTCAAATCCTTTTAAAAACTCCGTAGTAGTGCTATTAATGTCATGTATTAGTAAAAGAGTTTCAAATTGTATTTGAAAATTATTTCTCTAAAAATTAAAGAGAACTTAAACCAAAAAGTTACCAAGTCAGTTTTAAAGACTGTATAAAAAAGCTTTTGAAAGTGTATACGCTATTTGAGTTTTTATAAACCCACAAGCAAAAATGTAAACAAAATTAGATGTTTTGAAGAGCTATGGTGTATTAAGATAAAATATTGCAACTTTAATAAAACAAACACATAACGAAACTTTTTAGTCCCTGTGTTTTTAGTCCCTATTTCAACTTATTGCACCTCCTAACATCGAGTGCAATCCTGTCCGCTTTCTCTATGCTGTCTTTCTAACACGACTACTTCTGTCTTTCACTCTAACATATCTTCGTTCTTCCTAAACTCACTTTACTCTTGGTCTGTTGAGCGGGTTATGACGCACCTTGGGGAGCCGAACCTGTCTTTGCGGTACCTTGGTAATGTGGCCTCTATATGGCAACTAGCCGGAGGAGGTTAAACCACAATACCGAAACTAAAATTGGAAATCGCTTTTTAGCTTTAATTGACCAACACTTACCAGTAGGACACAGGCTTCATAAAATTTTTAATCGAAACTATATCAAAGTTAGCTATAGTTGCATGCCTAATGTCAAGTCTTTAATAAATGCACATAATAACAAAATTTTACATAGCGATAAAAATAAAACATCAAAAAAATGTAACTGCATAGACAAAAATATTTGTCCGTTAAATAACCAATGCCTTTTTAGCAATATCGTATACCAAGCCGCTGTAAGTTCTGGAGATCTTCAATGCAAAGATAAAGTTTATTTCGGTATAAGTGAAACCACATTTAAATTAAGATATGCCAACCATCTTAAATCTTTCAATGCACCCAAATATAAAAATGACACTGAACTTTCCAAAGAAATATGGGAGCTAAAATCGAAACATATAAATCCTGTGATAAAATGGAGGGTAGTAGCACAATGTAAGCCCTACAATCAAGCATCAAAAGTTTGTAATCTTTGTCTACGCGAGAAGTTTCACATATTATCATATAAAGGAGAAAACTTATTTAATAAAAGATATGAAATAACATTAAATTGCCGGCATTCAAAAAAATTTTTACTATCCATATTTGATACCGGGCACTAAAACCTTTGACGTCTTTTTATTTTGTTTTGTTTTGTTTGGTAACGTCAGAACTCGTTCCACCGTAATTTTAATTTGTAATTTTTAAAAGGTTTTTAAGTGACGAAATACACAATGGCTGATGATTGCCGAAAGGCATGAAACTCAGAGCTCCATCAAAAGTTGTTTTTGTTCATTTAGTATAAATAAATAAATATTTCTCTATTAATTAATAGTATTGTGCACTCTTAAACAATAATAGTATTTGTATTATTATTATTATTATTATTATACCATAATAATACATTTTCTATTTTGTGTATATATATATATATATATATATATATATATATATATATATATATATATATATATATATATATATATATATATTTGCTAAAAACCAGTAAAATAAACTAAGTAGCGGTAAAAACCAGAAGCCTTTTAAAAATATTATTAAGCTATAAATTATAGTAGATACGTACAGTTAAATTTTGGTTAATTATTACTTTAATTATTAGTACTTTATTATATAACAATATATATTATGTAATTAAATTATCTTATATAATTTAATCATATTACATAATGTAAATAGGTTTTAAAATATTTTATATATAATAATAATGTTTATACTATATACTTGTGTATTACGCAATATATAAAAATTTATACTAGTGCGTTACATATATATTATATAACACAATAGAATATAAATGTATTATGTAAATATGCTTTTTAATCAAGCTAAAAATTAAACAAACAACTTAAAATTTGACATGTAAAGCCTAATTTTGCAGTAACACACTTTGATGCTCGTCATAAATACTGCTGTATATGCTATCAAAAAGCAGACAGAACACTTCCAGTTACAGCTTTGACTCATTAAAACATTGGTTTTAGCGAACTATAACATTAATAATCCATCCTTTGCGACTGGAATATGCAACACCTGTAACAGAGTATTATTACTACATAGAAAAGCTTATGTGGGAACTACTCGTTCTCTTCGCATACATTCAGTTGCAGCATCAGGAGTAGTTCTCTCCGTCCTAATCAGAAGTAAAAATTTGTGTGATTGTACTATCTGCAAAGTAGTAAAATCAACCATACCTGGAACAAAAAGAACTAAAACTAAAGGTAGACCAAGAGTTCTGGAAAAACCATCCAAAAAAATGTCTGTAACTATATGTAATCAGTGCTTTCAATCCATTGATTCATTACGAGGTCATACTTGTTCAAAGGTTTTTGTTTCAACAAACCTTCGTCAGATGATTGAGAACTCCTTAAATCAAGAAGCAGGAGAAAAATAGGCGGCAGATCAAATTAGAGAAAATTTTAAACAATCAGAAATTGGATCCCTTAAAACAAGAGGGCTATCATTTACAGTTTCAAAAAGATCAATAAGGCCTACTGCAGAATGGAGTCACAAAGATTTTATGACTTTTAAGGCTGATAGAAAGTCTTTGTTGATGGCGGTGGAGGTTTCTTTAAGCTTGGAACTGGTACTATTGATGTGGCAAGTTAATTTAGTGATGATATCACCAAAATATTAAACTATTCTGAGGGCATATGTCCGAACCTGAAAAAAGAAACGTCCGTCGATCAGACATTACTCTTAGGAATAGTCCCAAATATTGAAGAGAATTATGAAAACTGTGCTGTCTTTTTCAAAATTATTGACTTAAAAAATATTTAGTTTAAATCTGCGCTGATTTGAAATTACTTACCTTGATTTTAGGACTTCAAAATCATAGTTCAAAGTATCCTTGTTGCTTCTGTAATAAGAGTACAGATTGTGTAGATTGGCTTTACTTTAGAGGAGATAAACAAATCTTTGGATCAATTAGAGAGCAAAATCTTGCTTGGAAACAAGGATGTAATTCTGACTCATCACTGAAAGAATTTTATAATTGCAAGAATCAACCACTTCTGCCATGAGCAGTGGCGTTGCGTGGGAAAATTCCAATGGGGGGAGAGACCTCAATTTTCCCAACTGCTTGACACAGAATTTCTATAAAGGAGGGGGGGGGGGAAAAAAGTCTATTTTTTGCCAACTAAAGCCAAAAAACTGTTTTTGAACGCTAACTTATCTTAAAAAAAAAAAAAGGTCCTCGTTTTCCGACATTTGACGACCGTAGGGGTGTTAGACACCCCCCTCCTTGGGACGGCCCTGTTTGTATATGAATCTTTTTACCACCATGAACGGATCTTTCATGACTGGTTTGATAGTCGTTGTTAAAAACTCCTTTGCATACGCAACATTGTATTTTATATCTTTTGCTTTTCATAATTATTGCTCTGGAAAACGAACGCAGATACTATAATTTACCGCAATTTTTAAGGGAGTTAATGTTTATAAAAGTTATCACTCTTATAATAATAGAATAAGATATATTATATATTCTTATTCATATTTAACCTTATCCTTCAAATCTAATTCCGACCCTACGTTAGTGTACTGATAGTTGGATGTGAAAACAGGTGCAAAGCTGAACGCTTTGCGCCTGTTATCAGAGTTTACCATTTATTGTCTTATTAAAAAATGAATCATATCATTTTTAATGATATCATACGTTACATACAACGACAGAAATGTTAAAATTAATGCCTGAAAATAAATTTTCACATGTTTTAAAGTAGAAAGTATGCAAAAAAAATTAATAACTGCTTTTAATTAACATACAGTGTAAACTAGTTGCTGCCATTTTTGTTGTAAATAACGAAAAAAAATAGCGCGAAAAAAAGTTAGTGGAAATCAAAACGGCGCCTTATTTCGTCATGACAAAAAAGTTTAAGTCTTAAGTCGTAAGTTTATTTGTCCAAGTAAAAAATAAAATTTCATATTTGATTGATTTTTGCAAACTTTTTAATTTTATTTAATTAAAAAATACTTTTTCATTTTATTACCGATTTCTTAACTGTCTCAACTCGATGCAAGGAAATTCCCAACTTTTCTCTTTTCAAGATTCTAAAGGGGAAGACCACAAAGAGAGATACAAAAACGATCTATTACGTGTTGTACTTTCATACAACGCGGAGAGAATTTGAGGCTTTATTATGTTCAGTCTATATCAGCTTACAAAATGTTTTAACTAAAATATTTTATTATTGATTTTGATAGGATTCTTTAATTTATTGATATAAAATATATGTTATTTTAAACAATGGTATTTATTAAAGAGTTAGCTTATTAGCTACTAGTTTATGTCTTAAATAAGTTTTTCTACGAACTTCATTCTAAACCTGTTGTTTTTCTGTAGATGTTAATGAGAGAAAAACACACTTTTTTTATATCACAATAACCACCATTATTTTTCAGGACACATTTTTCAAATTTTGTGAAATACTTTTTTGTGTACATTATAATCATACCTTGCTAGAAAAACTTAATTTAGGCGTGGGCACTTTTTTGAAACATAAACACTGTTGTGGGGAGGTGTGGCATGCATGTTTTTGTTAGTTGTAGATTTTCTTAAATTTTGTATAGCCCACACAATATTACAGTAAGACAAATAACTGTGAATAAAAGCAAAATACATTTTTTTCAGAGATGTTACATTTAGAAAAAGTTTAGCCTCAAACATCATTGCGATATTTTTTGAGAGTGTTGCTTCAATACAATTTATATGTGAATACCATAGTAAATTTTGATCCAGTTTTACTCCTTAAAGGTTAACGTATGTTTCCCTTTTAATATAAGTGTTATTAATTATAAGATTTGGTAATTTTAGAGGAATGCTTTCTGATTTATTTACTTTATGGAAAAACATATATTTTGTTTTATCCACCATTCATTAACCATACATAACTATTGAATAATTATTTTAAAAGTGTTTCAACATCTCTGTGAGAACAAAAAAGATTGGAATCATCAGCAAACAAAATTAGGTTTAAAAGATTTGTTGCTAAGTATAAGTTATTTATGTACAGAAGAAATAAAAATGGTCCCAAAATAGAGCCCTGAGGAATCCCGCAAGTTATGGAATATGGAAATGTGTTATTTTGATTATAATACAAAAATTGCAATAGTATATTGTGGTTTAAGGTATCGAAAGTTTTTGACAGATCAATGAAAACTCCTAATGTAAAACAGTCATTATCAAAGAAGTTAGATACTTGATTAGAAAGATCAACTATTGCATGTTCAGTGGAGTTTTTTTTTTAAAACCAAATTGCTTGCAATACAACATGTCGTTCTCTGTTAGATAATTATATAGTCTATTATACATTATTCTCTCTAGTAACTTTGAAAAGCAAGGTAGTATAGATATAGGCCTGTAATATAAAATATTTGACTTATCTCCAGATTTAAAAATTGGTGTTATACAAGCAATGTTTGTCAGGAACAATACCTGTCTTAAATGAAAGATCAAAAACATGAAATAATGAAGGTTCAATAATATCAAATGCTGATTTGACAATATCAATACTAATTTTATCAAAACCTTCACTTTTTTTTACTTTTGAGACTGCTAAATGCAGCTCTCAACTCGCAAAGTTTTAAGTTAGTTTTGTCCATAAGTTTCACCATAGTTTTAAAATACGAATCAAAGGCGTGGAATTAGATGGAACTTTAGCAGCCAATTTTGGACCAATATTAACAATTGTTTATTTGTTTATTATTGGAATAAAATTATTTTCTAAAAGAGTATTTATAAAATTCTTAGCATTATTATTAGAAGCATAGTTGATTAGGTTGATGTTAAAATCCCCGACCAAATAAATATGTTTCCTGGAATTTTCAATTTTGTTTATAAATGTTTTTAAGATGAGTTTTAAACTTTTCCAAATTACCGGACGGTGGTCTATAAATACTATTTATAATTATGTTTTTTTCAGTTTTACTTACTAATTCAATACGTAATGATTCACAATCTGTTTCATTAACACAGAGGTCGTTACGTGAAGTATGATTAAGTAAATTGTAGATAAAAATATTAACGCGCCTACCTGCATTAATTCACGTGGTTGGTGAATTGATGTGTAATTAACTAGTTCAAATTCATAATTTGTTTCACCACTTTTACACCAAGTTTCACCACTTTCACACCAAGTTTCCGTCGGACATAAAATTTTAAAATCGTGTTTAAGTTCATTTAATAATATTTTTAAATTTTCAAGTTTTTATTCAAACTTCGAATATTGATATTTAAAATTGAAGAAGTGTTTTGACTGTGTCTAAGATGTTGCGAACATTTTTAACATTTTGTGATTAAAATAATTCGGTGTCATTATTACCGGGAATGTCATTTTCATCTGAAAATTTAACTATGAAATTTTCCTTCATTTTTAGAACAGTAAAACTAAAATTCTGTTAATTAATGACAAATATCATGAAGATGAATTTTTGCTTTTCTTTGCAACCCAATCTCGAATTGTCAGTTTATCATAAGATATGTATGCAAACTTACCAGCCGCTCGTTCAATTTTAATTTTCTCCCTAAAACTTTTCCTGATTTGCTTTGTTTCAGAACAGAAAGCCTCATTTATATAAATGTTTTTCCCTTTTAGATTACAATTTTGATATGCTCAAAATTACAATTTTTTCTTTAAAATATGAAAGTTTGATTACTATTGTTCTTAAGCTCGCTTTCCTCCTTCTTTTTCACCTTCATTTTCTTCGCTTTCACCTTCATTTTCATTAATTCCATCTACTCTTAAATTATTACATCTCGATCAATCTTCCATTTCCCTTAACTTTTTTTGTAGGTGTATAATTTCTGAATTGTCTTCTTTACTGAAAACATTTGCTTTTTAACTTTTTCATCGATTAGTTCTTCATGAAAATTTAAGCAACGTTTCATTTCTTCTATGTCTTTTTCGAATTCTTCCAATCTGCCATTAAATAATTTTAAGTTTCCACTAATAATATTGATAAAGACTTTTTTCTGATGTTTTTACATCAATTCGAAGTTACTGCGCAAATTTATCATCTTCTTCCGTCAACAATCCGTTTAGGAAAATCTTTACCCATTAATACTTTTTGATGGTGCTCTAAATTCTTGAAAGATACTAAGAACCCTGGAATAGTGTTTTTTTGGGAAGATATGGTTGCCAACCTGTTATATTTCAAATTACTTTATTTACTTTTGTATGTACTTTTTACAGAAAGTATTTTAGAAATACATACAAAATTTGTCATTTTAGGTGTGTTATTTGCTTTATATAGGTAATAACAAATAAACGAACAAAAAAGTGATATCTTTTGCTAAAAAAAGAGGATTTTTATGCTAAATCCTAAATTAGTAAATACCTCAAGGACTGCAAAAAACTAAAATCTTAGATTTCTCTTTCTATAACTATTTATTGAGATTTATAAAAATGAGAATTAAGTTTGTCTCACAAATCATTATAAATTCATTACGAATTTTTTTATTTAAAATATATTTTATATTATATATGTTTTCTTATGATATGACATAAAATACATAGTATATTAATTTGAACATTTAACTACGCATGTTACCTGCGAGGAAAAGGTCTGTTACGGTTAAAAATTTCTATGAGAACGAAATCGTCTAGTTTGAGTTCATCATCTATTGGCCAGTCGAATTCCTAAAATTTCCAATATAAAGTTACGTAATCATTTACACATATGGGCGCGCAAATAAAATTTTAGAAAAAAAAATTACTACCTTTTCCCATTCAGCATCATAGCAGAATTCATAAACATCAGTTAAATAAGGTTTTCCTTGAGAAAAAAAAATTGTTGGCATTTAATTAATGTAGATTTTATATCTTGATTAATAAATATAAAAGCAATAAACAAATTTATTATTAGTAAATAAATAATATATTAAATCTGTGATAATATTTTAATATTTTTTAAATAATTACTCTTCTGAAAAATCAAAATTCTACAAAATTAGTTAGAAAAACTACATAACTTTGCTAAATTGTTTTATGGATTACTCATGGCTTTTCTACGGCTTATATTTTTTTGTAATAACTGTAACCCTGACGGGTTACATCTTTTTTTTTACCTTAGAGACTATCCATTAATTGTGTCAAAAATTTCAGACCCCCTCCCCTATTTTGTTGACAATTAATGAACAGCCTTTTATTTACGACTTGTTTATCTCTTAAAGCTCCTTTTTATGTTATCAACTGCTTATCTAAGACTTTTAATCTCCAAACTGCTAAAATGACCAGGTTTTCACTAAAATATAAACGCTTGATCAAATAACATAGAGAAGTACTTTATGTATAATATATATATATATATATATATATATATATATATATATATATATATATATATATATATATATATATATATATATATATATATATATATATATATATATGTATATATATATATATATATATATATATATATATATATATATATATATATATATATATATATATATATATATATATATTATATCACTATTATTAATTATAGTTAACATAACTTTTTAATCTTGAATATTTTATGTTATTTCTGCTAAAAAACCAATATATTCAAAATAATTACTTTATTATAAAAAAAGTTTTAAATATTTTTATGCATCTTGTTTTCGTAGTTCATGCGGGTAAACTGACAAATGGCCAATACCAGATAAATCTTAACTGATAAAATCGATCGTTTTAATTTGAAAAAATTGTAAACTCGAATTATATTTTATACTTCTCACCTCGAAATGTTACTTGAGCAATTCTGTCATGTCGCCCATTCAGTCCACGAGCCCACTTTAAAAATATTGCAAGCGTGTGCATTTTGTTTAAAGAATTTTTTTTTTTTTTTTTTTTTAAATAAAATAATTACTCAAAAAAATAAGGTTAAACAGTAAATTTTAAACATCAGTCGTTGGTTATTTAGAAATACGATCTAGCATTTTTAAAAAGAATGCTAAACAAAAATCAATTAAAAACGATCCAACTGTCATAAAAAACTTTTAAACTTGATTGAATCGATTTAATATTCGACGTGCAACATATTCGTTTTAGTTAAAATGAATTAAAAAAGCACGAAACGTGAGTTTTCTTGAATTTTTTTTTATTTCATTTCATTTAAACTTGTCTTGAGTTAGTATTCGTTAAAAATTGATAATTAAAAAAAAAAAATGAAACACAAAAAATACTATATTGCAAAATTTCAGTAGATCTATATAAGCATTTCAAATGGTCCATTTTAGTTTAGCTCATCGATTACTTTTCTTTTTTTTTTTATTTAATTTTTTTTAGGTGCCTTAAGAAGACCTAACGGTTTTGTCACAGAGCTCAGCGTTTTTAGAGTAATGCTCTATTTTGTGCGAAAAATTTTACTCTAAGCAATTGCTCGCCTATGAGAAAAGTACGTGATTAAAAATTTAAAACTCAAAAACAATTGCTTCGAATTTTCTGAGCACCTATAATAGTTGCCCTTTATTTTATTTTTTAAAATCGGGCATTCATTTTATTATTTTATAACTTTATTTTACTATTTTTCGATTAATTATATATGTATATATATATATATATATATATATATATATATATATATATATATATATATATATATATATATATATATATATATATATATATATATATATATATATATATATATATATATATATATATATATATATATATATATATATATATATATATATATATATATTCAATTAATTCAGACTAAAAATATCGAAGTTCTGCGATATTTTTAGTCTGAATTAATTGAATAAAACGAAAACGCAAAACTATCATTGCATATGTTCCGTTTTTAAATTTGTTCGGTTTAATATTTGTTAAATAATTGCGTGTTTTCCTTGTTCTTCAACGTTTGAAAATTTCCGGAAAATTTTGCTCCTAATCTCCAAAATATTTCAAAAATTTTTCATTGCATTAAACTTATATAGTTTTATAAAATTCCTTCCTTTGTTTAAAAATATGCGTTATATCATCGTAGTATTTGGGTGTTCTGTAAATATTTCAACAAAAAATATAAATTATATAGACCCGCATGCTAAAAATACACATCTTTTAGCTGATTTTTTTAAAAAGTAGCAATTAAAGCATAATCAGTGTTAATTTCTACAAATCTTTCGATTGCTTTTTCGAATTTTTGATTTCGAATGATTGATACGAAAAAAAAACACATCTAAACTACTTACAGTATTTGTGTTGATCTGCATACATTAATAAGATGACCTAATTATCAGTATGTTCTCAACCAATTGCACCTCCTAACATCGAGTGCAATCCTGTCTGCTTTTTATATGCTATCTTTCTAACACGACTATTTCTGTCTTTTATTCTAACATATTTTCGTTCTTCCTAAACACACTTTACTCTTGGTCCGTAGAGCAGGTTATGACGCTATTAGTTAGCTGAACTATTCTTTGCGGTCCTTGGTAGTGTGGCCTCCGTATGGCAATTAGCTGGAGGAGGATAAACCACAATACCAAAATTTTTCGATTGCCAGTTTAAGCGTGTTTTCATACTCACAGTCAAAGGGTAAAGTGACCAAATTCAAGCCGCATCTTTACAAAATTGTTTGAAAGACATTTTGACATAAAGGTCTATAAAAAAAATCATACACTTTTAGAAAGAATAATTTTTTAGCATTTAGGATAGAATTGTAGCAATTTTTATAAAAGAAAAATATTTATAAAAATAACGATGAATTTCAGCCAAGCGTATGCAGAATGACCCTACTTATAGCCAATATTTAAAAAAGCCTTTTTCCAATACTTTTATGAGTTGGCATTTAAAATTTTTAAAAATAAATTGCATTACTAAAATATGAAAAAAAACTTTAACCTTACAAACTTACAACCCTAGAAACAAATGGTTGACATCTAAACAATAAGTAAAGCCGTTTTAGCAAAATTGGATTTATTTAAAGTTTATTTAAATTAAAGTTAAAATTAGCATGTTCTCAAACATTAATTAGAAAATGATTGCTTAAGTTAATACTAAGCATTCATCAATAAATAAACATGACAAGGATACTTGATAACTTAATAAGGATGCCTAAAATGCCAACTGCTCTAACAGACTTTTTAGGTGACCAAATAACACTGTTTATAGCTTCAAGTAAAACTTTCTCTTTATATTTTACATTACCTTGAATTAGAAGAAATTGTTTCTTATTATGAATTTTTTTTTTATTACCAGCCATTCTAAAATGAAAACTTTGTATTATAAATTAAGATTTTCAGTAAAAGATTATTTTTTAATATAATTTTATTTATACGCAATAAACTACATGAAACATTATAATATCTTTCAATTTTTTAAACTTTTTTCTATTTTTAAGTCATACATCCTCATGTTTTAAAAATATTGTATAAATATTTTATAAAATAAATGCATATATTCAAGATTGATAACTTTTAGGACATACATTGCAGGCTTGGACAGGAATGGCGATGCGATCGCACGAGTGCGCTCTGTAACTGACCACGCTAATATTTTTATTTCTTTACAACTTGACCACGGCTTTTTTGATGTTTTAACAATTTGAATGCAATAAATTAAGTGTTACGTTATAAATATATTTTAATCGTTGATCTTTTCTAAAGTTTTTTATTTTAAGCAAAGGCTTTAAATAAAACCATAAAATTAATTATAGTTATTGTTTACATAAACGCTTGTGTAAATTAATAAAAAACATTATAAATAAGTTTTTTTTATGTAGGCATTTATTTTTTATGATAAATTTAAACTATTTTCTTATGTCTTCCTAAAATATTTTTATCAAAAATAGTTGAGAATAGAAAAACAAAAAAAATTTCTTCTGGAATTTGTCAAAAGGGTGTTGTGTTATGCTTCATTTTAAGGTATCTAAATATGTATTTATTTTTCATTTTTTAGAATAAGTTAAAACTAAATTGACTGGTAAAATAGTTTTTTTAGTACAATGTTTCTTTTTTAAGAAAACTGTTTCAGTTAGGTCGTTAGTCTTTTTAAAACATTTTGAGCAGTATTTGTTTTATTTTTTAGAGCAGTTGAGAGGAGCTGATCGCTTTTTTTAGTAAGTTCAAGTTATTTTCTCATACATAAATTTTATATTTCTCTATATCTATATATATATTTTCTCTAAGGATAAATAATAAGGAATAGAAAAATTAAGAAAATTTCCTCTGCAATTTGTCAAAAGAGTGTTGTTCTATGCTTTATTTTAAGGTATCTAAATATGTATTTATTAAAAATTTTTAATTTTGTTCTTAAATGGTTTCTTCTTTTTCATTGCTTCAGATTAATATATACTGACTAATATAACTTCATTTTTATTAACAATGTTGTGCATTGTATCTGCATTCTTTGTTACATTAAAAATAATTGAAGCTAATAAATATTGTTTTATAGTTGTTAAAAGTTTGCATATATGTTTATATTATGCTCGAAGTTAAAAAAGTTTTTGATAAATACGTGTATTTGGTAATATATGTTATATAGTTGTTTATATAAATGTGTTTTTATAATGGTATGAAATGTATTTTATCTAATGTGTATATGATTGTTAAATGAAGTGTTTTTATATGTTATATAACATTAAAAAAATATATTGTGTTTTAGTATATAAGTATATATGTTTATATAATGTTGTTTCCATGATTTTAAAATGACTTGGCAAACGTGTAGAGCAAGATTTATCAACCTTACCAGTCAAGCGATGTTACTGCTTTAGGTCTAAGTGTTGCCTAGCCTTTAATATAACTATTCTGAAAACACATTGCATTATCTTTAATAATTTTTTGCGTAATATTGTTACTTTTGGCTTATCTTTACGTTGGTGTCAGCTGTTAAAAATGATTAATAGGTAGTTTCATTACTAGAACTCACTGCTTTTATTTATTTACTAAAATTCATTCAAGACATCATTTCGCTATAAATACAATTTGTTTATCATGAAAAAATAATATTTAGCAACTACTACTTAGGTATCACAACAACTTATCTCTATCAGGTACATTGATTTTCAATTCACATATGTGTTTTTCAATTCACATATTTGTATTTACTTATTTGTTACATTTTTAACTTCAGATTTATAGTGGTTTTGTTTGCTATAGAAGAACAAATCATTTTAAATTTTTTAAAAATATCTACTCTAGTCAACATTCAAAGTTCAATGTTACATATACCATTTTTAAGTAGCTTCTAGGCTTTTTTGATGCTTTTCCTATTCAAGTGGTTTTATAAGCAAGGTCTGCAAGCAAATTTGAGCTGAAAAGTTTTTCAGCTTTCAAAGAGAACCAATGTTATTCTCTGTTTAATTTAATTTGTTTAAATAGAGTAGTTTTAGTAAATATGTTTGTTTGTTCTTGGTTTTTTACTTATTTGTTTTCAGATTCTTAAGAACTAGGCAACTTAGCAAAGCAAGATTTATTTTATTTTTTAGTGCAATCGGAAACAGCTAAAGTGCTTTTTAGTCACTTCAAATCAATTGTTTCTTTTTTTAAATAGAAGGGTTAATAATAAAAATATTTAGACAGTTGAACTGTTACTGATTTGAGTAAGACTAATGTTTTGTTTAATTTTATATTAGATATATATTTTATGTATTTAACCTGGAAAACTGACTGTAATTTTTGACAGGTAAGTTTATATACATAAATGTGCCTATATATCAAAATATTTTATATTTCTCTGAATCTATATGAATATTATCTCAAAGAAAAAATTAAAAAGAATAGAAAAAATTTGAATATATATACATACATATATATATTACTTTAGACTGACATTGCTTCATTTTTTATACAAGATTCTGCATTTATTATTTTTGTGCATTAAGGTTGTGCCTGAAGGTAAAAATAACTTTGCATTGTAGTCTAAATTCTTTGATAAATTAAAATAATATTAAAAATTTTGTTTTATATTTTTCATTTGTAAAAATATAAAACGTTCATTTATTCAGTTGTAACAGTAGTATAATCACTGGTAATATATTTAATGATAACAGATGTATAATATTAGACTCGAAGAAGTTATTAGTGTAAATGGTTATAGGTGACTTGCTTTTGTTGTCATATGAAAGAAATTGATCTAGGCGTGATAAAATTGATTGTCGTTGAAATATAAGAAATTTTGCTTGATGAACAGAAAACTTTTTTGTCAGAATTCAGTGTCAAGCGGTGTTGATGTCTATTATTTGATTTTACATTAGACACTCTAAAATATGAAATTTAAAGTATGAATTTTACTATTTTTAATATTTCAATTTTAAAGTATGAATTTTACTATTTATAGTAACAAATAATAACAGTTTCAATTTTTAATGATTTTAATTTTTTTTTTTTTTTTTTTTTTTTTTTTTTGTTATCTTAAACATAATTGTGTTCATTTTTTTTTTTAGTTGTCTTTGTCATCACTTGATTATTTTGGTTACTGTTGAAACATGGTTTTAATTTTGTAAATTTAATATGATGTGAAATTTACAATATTAATCATTTGTCAGCAGTTAAAGAGAAGTCGGAACTTAATTAAGAAATGCTGGAAATTAACTTTTAGTTAAGGTAAATATAATTTTATTTATTGGTAGCATAATAAAACCAGTGTACTGTTATTTATTGCATGACTTATTTACTTTTACTAACGTGCTGTTTTTAAAACATTTCCTCTCTCTCTTAGATGAGACTTAAATAAGAATTAATATATAGAGAGAATAGATTAAACTCATGTAATTACTGAGCTCTTGCGTATTTTTTAATACTGCGATTGATAATTTGCTATTTAAAGATATAATTCTTTAAATTGTCCCTTGGTTGTTCAAATATTGTAATAAATAAAATCTTTTTAGTTTCAAGTATTTTCTTTTAGGGATCGTCTATATATTATGTAACGCAAAATTAAAAGTATAGACAAAAGAAATATCTCAAAAACCGTGTTTCTCTCATGGTCAACTATATGTTGCATTTTCAAGAACTAGAGCATTTAATAGTTTGTTTTTCAAAATTGATAAAAATCTTATTCAAGGTATATTAGGTAAAAAAAAATGTAACATAAATATTGTTATATTTTTTAATGTTTTTAATTTATAGTCTTAAGATTTTCATTTCGAAAATTTACTGTTAAAGGTTGTGAGCACATTTATATGTATAACTTTATTTATCATTATTTATTTTTTTTCATAGTTTTTGAAAAATATATCTATCATTCAATAGTTGTAAAATGTGTTTATATGTGTTACATAAAGTCATATTTGTTTATAGTTGTATATATGTTTAAACTATTAAAGCCAAGACAACAATTTATATCTTAGTTTGATTTTTTTTTTTAGTATTGTTAATGCTTTTGTACTTCAAAACAGATTTTATAGTTACATTTTCGATAAATCTTTAACTGCAATTTCAAAATAGGTTACTATAAATAGGTAAATCGATTTTCGGTAATTGTGTAGAACCTGATTTCTTTTTATTGTAAATTTTTGTAAGTTAAAAAGATATAAAAATATGCTTTTAGTTAATTTTATATTTTATCTATTTTATGCCTAATAATTTGTTGTGCGTATTTTAAGGGGATCTTTGTAAATGGGGGGTCGTAACTAAAAAACCTTTAAAAACATGGAGAATATTGTAGTTTTGCGCATTAATATCGAGTTACTCAAGTTTTATTTATGTGTTTAACTAATTAGTTAGCTTAGTCTGTATTTGCAACACTTTTGAGGAACAAAAAGAAAAAATTCTTATATATGTAGATCATTGTTTTACATTTTATTACATTTTATTCATCTGGTCACCATTAAAGCAAAAAGAGAGGAGGAACCTCTTTATTAGTGTCAAAATATTTAAGAAAATTAAATTTCGAGTTACAAATCGTATTTTTAGTAAATGGTGGCAAATTACCGTTCACTAAAAATTAATGAAATAAAGAGTTGAACAAAAATTAATGAATACCGTTCACTAAAAATTAATGAAATAAAGTGTTGAACAGACTTAACAAGACCCGGGTCGGGTTAGCTTGGTTTACAAATTTTTATACTTATCTGTTATAATTTTTGTTTTAGGTTTGCCATATGATGCATTAAGTTTACATATTTTTTCAAATTGATTATACCCATGTTTGATCGTAAATTAAATTTTTTTTGTTTGAGACGTATTTGTACTCAGTTGCTTAGTTATTTATAATAAACTTTGTTATTTTTAATAAATTTAGTCAAATGTGTGCATTTAATATTTTTAAGTTAACAATTTTCTTTTCTGAAGAAAAATTAATCAAGGGAATACCAAAAAATTGATAACTCCTGTTTAATATAATTTATTCTTTTTAACTTCATTTTAATCTTAATGGTTCGTGTTATATTAATTATTACAAAGATTTAGTTGATACTTTTGTCAATTTAAAGCATGACGAAGTGTTATTATTTTGTGTCAGTAACTAAAAACGTATTGTGTTAAACTTAGAAAGGTCGATGAAAATGGTTCTGCCTTACACTGTTATGACCTATGCCATTTGTAAATTACTCAAATAATGTTAAGTAGTAATTGTAAATGTTAAGTAGTAGTTGGAAAATTATTTTACCTCCTCATACTTTTTATGTTAATTTTACAGATGGATTAATTTTTTCAAGCTGAAGGCGATTTTCTAAAAGGGTATTAGTTAAGGTTTTCCAACATTAAATTGTGGAAAACAGCCACTATAAATTAGTTATGTAACAGACCGACCAAAACCCGTATTACGGGTTGCTTTTTGCTAGTTTTTATGATTTTACGATTTTTTAAAATGTTTTAAATAAACATTTTATTTTTTGTAAACAATTTTTTTTTTTTTTTCAATTTCGTTAAAAATGAATGAGATTAAGGGCCTGATTATATGAAGAAATATGTCCCGCTTTGCCGAGACGGGACGATTAGCCGAGATCTCGGTATAACGGTTAACTACACATAAAGTCTTAAAAGCGATTACATGAATTTTTTTATCCCGTCCCGCCATACCGGGATAATTTCTCTGCCGAGAGTCCCGCTTTAACAACTGGGAAACTCGTTTGAAAGGGACATTTATTTCTCATGTAATCGCCTAAACGAGATGATTTTCTCCTAACACGCATGCGTTAATGCAACTCGATAATTTTAAAAATGGCTGCGTGTTTAGATAAGAAAACATTTGGATGGAATGATGAAATGGTAATTGACTAATCAAAATGTCTAAAACTATACAAATCAAATATGGAATATATTGGAAAAGACTTTAATAGTGATAGACCTGCGCAGTACACTTTTTTACGAAAAGAAATGGCTGGTAAATATGAAAATAAGTTTGTTAACTTCTTTGGACCTACATGTGTTCCAAGTCTTGTATGCACAAATGAAATGTTAGAAAATGAAATTGATAAAATAAAAGAAAATATTAAAGAAAAAAACAGATTAGTAAAAGTTGGCTACCATCGAATCCTTGAAAAGGTAAAGGAAATAAGACAAAAATTTACCACAGCAGTATTAAAAGGAAGTCGAAGTGGTAGTGGCAGAATTATTTTAGAGCACTTTGATTTGTTACGAGAAATATACAGTGGTTCAGCATCGATAAAATCTTTAAGTTCAGAAATTGATACGACTTTAGTGAAAAATAATTTATCTTTACTGAATGAAAGGTTAATAGATAATATTTCTGTGGAAAAAGAAACTGATATTGATAAAAACAATGTTGATTTTACCAGTACTTCATTATCTTGTAAAAAAAAGAAAAAATGAAGCAGATTTGCCTATATTGATTGATGAAAAAAGAAAACATATTTAAAAAAAAAAGTGCTAACCAACGTGATGCTTTGCTATTAAAAGAAGCAAAAGAAGATATAGAATTACATAAAGAAGTTGTTAATGCTATAAAAGAATCAAACCAAACATTTTCTGATGCAATGAGAAGTATTGGTGACTCGATGAAACTTTTAACGGAAAGCATGAAAACCTCAGTGCAGTTTTTAGGACAAGGATATAGTAGCTCACAAGCTTACTTTCATACACAAAGAGCTTACTTACCCTCATCAGAACAGTTTTTTGACCATCCTAGTACCCAATACAATTCTTACTTAATTAAAAAAAATCAAGAAGAACAATCTAAAAGTTTTGACAGACAATAGCGTAGTATTTGTTTAATGTAATAAGTACTGAATAATGGAAAAAAATTATTACTTTATCTTACTTTATCTTAAACGTTATACAAAATATTGAGTTTACCAAACTAGAAACAAAGAATATACTTTTTTTTCAAAAAACAGTTGTGTTTTGCTTTGATATTTTTTTGTAGTTACTATTGTATTTTTTTTATATTGAGTTATTGTTGCATCCAGAAATATACTGTGTTATTACTTCTCTTATTAATGATCCTTCATCTGTGTTGCAAGAATAAATATAATCAACTTTGTCAGAGTTAATATTTTCTTTAATATTATTTATGAAAACTTCTTCGTCTACTGTTATACATTTTATCTCACAAAAGTTATGCAGAACAAAACAGGCATATATAACAGTGGGTATATTTTCTAGTTTGAGGTCAATTTTTTTTCTTAAGTATTGCCCATTGTGCTTTAAGGCGACCAAAAGCACATTCTTTTTGATTTCTTGCAGTTCTAAGCGAGGTATTGAAAACTACTTGATTGTTATTTTGGCAGTGCAAATACTCTTTTAAGCAGAAAGTTGAAAGAGGATATCCTGGATCACCTATTACATAGCATGGAACTTTGCAAAAGCCTGGCAGCAATTCTCGATAAGTTATAGGTATACTGTTTGAAATCATTCTTAAGTTAAATGTTGAATTAGAAAACACTTTAGCATCATGAAGTGATCCAGGCCATTTGCAGTCGACATCCATAAAAATGCCTTTTTGAGTCACAATTTGCTTGAACAGATATAGAGTGAAATCCTTTGTAATTAAAGTAGTCTTGTGAAGATTCTAAAGGTCTTCGTATTGGAATATGAGTTCCATCAATAAAACCAAAAGGTTGAGGCATATTAAATTTTGTTTCCATTTCTAAAGTTTTGTTTTTCATTTCTGTTTTGTTTTTAGGAAGATAAAGTATTTTTGATCCAAGGTGATATGTAATGGCCTCACAAACTTCTAATACTACTTTAGACACTGTGCATTGATGTATACCAAACGAATTAGCAGTCATCCATAGAGACCCCGTATCTTTTAAATAATATAAACAGCATGCAATTCTTTTTTCAATGCTAAGTGCCCTATAGTTTGGGGAATTGCTACCAGAATTGATAAAGGGTCGCAAGTAATTAGCTAGTTCCATCACATGTTCTTTAGACATCCGAAAATTTAGTTTCTATTTATTTTCAGTAGTAACATTGTTCAACAGATTAAACCAAAAAGTTTCAGAACTTCCTGGTTTAATCCATATGCTACGGGGCATTCGCCTTGAACGTTTCTCCACAGCATTAATAATTCTTTGTAGGAAATAACTTCTTTTTCGTAAAGAAAATGTTACAAAAATGTTAAATAATCTTCTTTGTTTATCAAATATGCAAGAGCAAGATCTATCTGCTGTAAATTAAGTGAAACAAGCATTGCATTTAAGGTCTTTAGCGATTTTTCGGCCATATTTTATTTTTACTTTCAGCGAAACAATACAGGAATTTTTTTTACATGTAATCGATTAAATTTTTTTACAGGCGGGAAGTTTTTATCTCGGCAAAGCGGGACAAGTTTCCTCATATAATCAGGCCCTAAATCTTTTATAACAATTTTTAAATTCGTTACGCGAAACGCTTATTAATAAAGTTGTAACGCTAAAATTAAAATTAAATAATAGGGTTTGTTTTAATTTTATTTAAATCGCAGGCGCATTTTATTTATTTATTTTTCTATTTTTACAAATAAAAAAAGTTCAAAACCTTTTTTTAAATAGACTCACTAATTAGAGCATGAAATTAGTAAAAATTACTATTTTAAAAAGCCTATTTTTAAATAAATTTAATAAAATTTGTTCTTTTATTAAATCAGTCGTTAGTAGTAATTTGTTATTTAATTTAAAAACGTTTTGCGTAACTTTAATAACGCTTAGAAAGATAAGTGTTAATAACGTTTATTTTATACGTAATTAAAAACGCAACAAAAAGTTTCGCTTCGAGTTTAAGTTTTTATTTTCATTTTAGTGCTTATATGATTTCTTTTTCGTTAAGAATTTGTTTTTCGTTTCTTTTTTCGTTAGTTTTTTTTTTTTTTCGTTAGTTTTTTTTTTTTTTTTTTTTTTCCGAGTTTAAGTTTAGCTTAGCGTTTCTACATTCAGAACATTTCTGAAATTTTCAACTTATCAAAACATATAAACATTGTTTATTAAACAATCGTGGTCAAGTTGTCAAAAAAAAAATCATTTGCGTGGTCAGCAATAGCGCTCGAGCGCACGCCATTCCTGTTCAAGCCTGCATTACAGTAATACATGTTCATAAAGAAAAAAATCTAATGATATAAATATCCTTCAAGTATGAGTTACTTTTAGACATTCAATTACAGTAATACATGTTCATAAAGAAAAAAATCCAATGATATAAATATCCTTCAAGTATGAGTTACTTTTAGACATTCAATCTAATTTCAGCCTTGGCCAGAATAAGGTTTACACCTGGCCGGATTTTTGTATTTCTACCTGGTGCATACAATTCAGAAATACAATCTATAGAAAAGCTAAAATTGTCTATTTTAAGAAATATATTTAAATAATAGATATTTAATGCTTATAAGCGTTAAACTGGATGTTTATATGATTTTTTAAATCTCTAATACTTTATGAGATAAATATTTGTTATCATGTTACTTCTAGTATAAACATCCGCCAATTAAAATAATGTTTTTTTTTTTTTTTTTTTTTATTGCATACCAGTTTCGAAAAATTCGCGTTTACAAGCATAAATCAGAAACCAAGACAGAAATATTAAATTTAAAATGTGGCTGGAATTTGGTCACTGGCTCAAATTGGGTCCCTTACCCTAGTAAGTGAAATAGAAAATAACTATAAAATTTTAAAAGACCAATCATATCAAAAATTTTCTGCGAGTAATTTCAATTGGTACAGACATTTTACGTTAAACTTGAATTTGATTTATAAGAAAACAACCAAATGGATCACTATATACCTCATTCAACCACTATTTAATCATATCTTGAGATTATATTCTCACATTGATAACATAATATCAACAGTTCTTTCAACCTCGTTGCAAGAAGGTAAGTCGTCAAGTAAAGTCAGTCAATATCTAAAAAACAAAAATACAAAATTACTACTATCCTATCAATTTATCTTACATGTTCTAGTTTCATTCAATTTGTAACTTCTAATTCATAAGTTTACACACATGGTAATTTACATAGCTAACGGGTTAACTTTAGATATGTTGTGGATTAAATAGCTAACCTTAAGCTTAACTTAATCTTAAAACAATAGAATAACTTAACCTTCGACCATTAAAACTATTATATACATCCACACCTTAATTTCTTCACAATCAATAACATAACATTAGGAAAAGCATAGACATTAGGAAAGGTATCTTCTTTTTGATATTTTTATAACAGATGATATTTATCAAAACTACTAGGAATATATTAATTTTGTATTTTGAATATGCTATCTTTTTCATGAAGATTATATGAAAATATCTTAAAATTATATAAATAAAGGCCAAGTCTAAAATATTATATTTTAAAAAATTCTTTTAAATATTCACTATTATGAGTATGAATTTTATGAAAATCTGAAATCAAGATGTAATCAAAATGCAAAGCGATTATCAGAAATGTAACTATCATAATCATCATCAAAAAATAAATGCTTGTATTCATTTTGATATTTGCCAGCACTAATTTTTTTTTAATAAAAAGCCATACAACTAATCAGCTTTTGTAAGCCATAATGTTTGCAGTACCATCTGTGGTATCTATTTTGAAATTTACAATACTTGTTTGAGTATTTTACAAATTATGGCTTTACTTAGATTAACTTAACTAAAACATCAAGGTTAATAATAATCTGATACCTTGTATCAGATTATTATAACCTGATACAAGATATATCTGATACCTTGCATCAGATGTATACTAACTTTGAAAAACAAACTACAAAATGCTCTTGTTTTTGAACATAAGTCATATAATTGGATAGTAATAAATATAAATAAGAGAAACATAGTTTTTTAAGACATACAACAATATATATATATATATATATATATATATATATATATATATATATATAAGATTATTAATAGAAAACAATGAAATTTGTAAAAATAGAAAATTCTGTTTCACTTCAATTCATTACTAAAATAATGTAACAGTATATTCGAACAGTCTATTTAAATATACTAATTATAATTCCTAAAATACTTTTATGTAGCTGTTTATACTTTTTATTTACAGAAGTATCAGTCTTTACATTTCTGGAAGTCATTCAATAATAAAACTGTTGTAATCAATAATTAAACTCAATAATAAAAATATTTATCTAATATTTAATAAAAATGTTTATTTAATATTTAAAATTTCTATTTAAATTTTAATCTAATATTTAAAGTTTTTAATATTTAAAAATTAAAAATGTCTAATATTTAATAATAACTTAATGATAAGTTAATAATATGTAACCAAGTAAAAAATTTATCCTTCATAAAAATGTTTAATGAAGTTACGATAGAAGTATACAAAAAAAAAAGCAGAATAAAATCCAGAAAAAAAATACAAAAAATAGGAACAAAATACAAAATAAATTGTAAAAGTAAAAATAATAATTAATGTAAGCAATTATAAAAATTTAATAAAAGCCGTTGTTGTTTTTTTACAAAAAACCTGCTTATCTCAGCCAAATAAAATTAAAGTTATATTAAGTGTTTTTAAATATCCTAATAACACGATAAAGTAGAATAAGCATAAACTTTTTTTACGGAATGATCTGGTCGTATTGTAATAATATGCAGTTAAGTAACAAAGAATCCTTGATTACTTAACTGCATATTTTACTGTAGATTGAATCAAATGTTAAAATATTCTATTCTACACAATACTTAGTTTTGATAGGAATGCGAACATTTCCCGTTGGACAAAAATTAACGCCAAGTTAAGTTGTTATATGTTACTTTTACGCGTGTGTTACTTTTGTAAAACAACAAAAAGTAGATATTTTTCGTGTTAGCCTGTCTTTTGAGCTTGTGTATAACATATTTCCAGCTTTTACTTCTCTCAACTACGATGTATAACATTCTCAAAATACAGTAAATTACGGGTTGTCCGTAAACTGCGTCACGCTCTAAAGGGGAAGGTGGTCAGTGGCTTTGTGATGACTCATACAAAAATTTCTAGTAAAGTAATACGATTTTATGATGAGGAACGGGGGTCAAAAATATACCATATAAAACACGCACACACACACAAATTGCCCACTTGACAGTATTGGTTGAAAAATACGGTATGCATTTAAACCATTTTAAAGTAGGGGAAGTGGAGGCATAACCCCCCTCCCCCGTAAAGTTTGAAATAATGTTAGATGAAGATAAAAACGTGTTTTTTTACTAGTTTATTTCAATAACCACATCATTAAGCTTTAAATTGATGCAATTAAGAAAAAAATTAAACGGTTTTTGAAAATGTTATTTCACAAAAAGTACAATTAGTGAAAAAACAGTTTTGCCCCTATTGTGAGGCACAACCACACCCTCACAAAAATTGTTGGGAGTACACCTTTCATGGCACATTTTCTTTACAATTTTCACAGCATTTTTATTTCATTATTTGATGATTTTGTTGCATGTTTGCATAATTTGCAGGCATTCTTTATATTTACATTTTGATCTCTGCTCCAGAAGAGAGTTCTGCCCCAGAAGAGAGTTTTTAGAAAGAATTCAGTTGCATAGCTTGCTTATTAGATTATGCTGATATCAAAAAGGGTTTTCACTTGATGAATTAATGCTGATAACACATGTCTTTAAATCACACTAAAATCAAATATTACTTAATTCTCAAAAAAAGGTCTGGAAAAATATGATGTAAATATAAAATTTTTATCAAAATAAACATTATTATGCACAATTTCTAATATATAATATATAATATATAATATATATATATATATATATATATAAAGTTATAGATAAGTTTATAGATAAGTTAAATATAAGTTTACTGAGCTATAAAATGTAGCGTATTGACAATTGAGTTTCATAACTTAATAGCAAATTGATTGTACATATAGATGTTTTAATGCTTTATTCAAACGCTTGAATTTAATTCCCGTGATCTTTTTGAATGGAATTCATTAAAAATAATGCACTCACATTTTTTTTAAATTGATAAAGAATTAAAATTCCAAAATGATCACTTTCTCGAATGAAAATATAAAGTATATATATTTTTTGACATGAATTGATTTAAGATTGAACTAAGATCATAAATGATTATTTTATGAAAAATCTTTAGAAGCTTTCTTTTTATTTCCGGAACCTGAAGTATAACGATGAAGTATTTATAATTTATTTTAAATTATAATATATTATAATTTATTCGAAAATAATTGATTATTAAAAAATGTCTACATTTGCAATATATTTAAAATGGGCACATGGTTTAAATGGACGACACGACAGAATCGCTAGAGCAACATTTCGAGGTGAGTTTCATATTTTACAAAACAGTTCATGATTTTTTAAGTTTGGTTTATACTTGGTCGCACTTGAAATAAATGAATAATAAAAGTATATTATCTTTTTTTTTTTTTTTTTTTTTTTTTTTTTTGTCGAGTTAATAAAAATTGTTTTTTCTGAGATGAAACTCTATTTCTGGATAAAACGCTCTAGACGGTTTATTTTGAGAAAAAAAATTCAACGTTAGCAAAACTGTAAAATTAAGAATATAAATAAAATAATAAATTATACTTATTTAAAGATCTATTTTTTAGCGTTGAATTTTTTTTTTTTTTTCCCATTGTGGGAATTTTTTTTTTCTTTCTTACTAACAAGCGTATTGGAGGCCTCTGATATTCCATTTTATTCAAAATAGTAGGAAACTCTGGAACCAAATACAAGAAAATTTTATCAGCATTTACTTTTGAAACATCTTAATCATTTGTCAAATAAATTCAAACCAAAAATTACCTAACTTGATAGAAATATATAGAGCTACAGCCGTATTACCATCTCTCCGTTTAGCTTATCGGAGATTTTGTCTGAAGTTTCATTTATTTCTAAATAAAGAAATTAAACATTATTATTGTAGTTAAAAAATTTTTTGACTAATGCTAAGTTAATGTCTCCGTTAAGCTTAAGAAAGAGGTGAAAATACGGCCCATGTACCAATGTCACAGATAAGCAAAAGTTTTTGGTTCTTTGTTTAAAAATATATTTCTATTAACTTTAAATTCTTTTTAAAATTTTTACTTATACGTATATAATTGTTTTAACTGTTACAAAAATCCGTTTTGTTAGAATTTTAAACAAAACGGACTTCTGTAACAGCTACATTAAACATTCAGCTACATTTTACTACATTCAAATTTTTATTATAGCAAAAATAATCGTTTTTTACTATCGAAGGGGCTATCATTAACTGTCAACATAATAAGGTCTGGAAATTTTAGACAATTGTTTACAAGAGGGAGAGGGGGAGGTCAAGAAAAATTGATGTCAACAATGTTGACATAATATTAATAACAAAAACTTTTGTATTTTAGTTTTATTTGGGGGAAGGGTAATCAAATGTTGGCATAATTTTATAGAAGATGGGGTAATCAAGTTAACTCGCTAGTAAAAGCGCGGAAGAATTTTTTCAAGAAATTAAAAAAAAATTATTTTCTGATTGACGCAATAAAGGAATTCAACCTACATATTAAATTTTGAAAAAATGTATTTGTACGATTTAAATGATCTTTCGAATTATAGTAGTTCGAATTACAAGAGTGCTACTGTATGTCTTTTCTTAAAAATATTTTAATGAGCACTACAATAATACGTAGCATGAATATTTTTTAGATTATTTTATTTTGTCGAATATATAAGTATTAGGGTTGAAAATTTCCCCGAAATTTTTAATTCGGGACAGTTTCCGAAAAATTTCCGGAAATAAGATAAGTTATTTTATAATTAATGGGTAAAATTTTATTTCATATTTAGGAAGTTGTTATAGAAAATTTTATAGTAAAATATTGTGACGCAGATTATAAAAATTTTGTAAAGTTTTTTAAATAAAACTTTAAGTAGCAACTATGATAACTTGTTTTAAAAATTTTCTAAAACTATTTTAATTTGTTATTTGCTAAGCATTTTGATGTTTATTGCCCTAACAAGCTTTGTTTAAAGCTAAACATAATTTGCACCCTCATCCCTAAATAGGATTGTGCATGTTATGATCTTTCGAATTATTGTAGTTCAAAAAATTGATTTGTGTGTGTTTGTGTGTTATTTATAAGTATAATACCAAGCAAGTTAATTTATTATTATTTTACTTAACATTCAAATGACTTTCAAAAAGACTTGTTCAACAGTGATATAAAATTAGGCATCTTAAAAACAGATATTTCTGACCACTTTCCTATTTTTCTAACCATAAATACTGACCAACCGCCTAAACAAAAATTAAATAAAGTTATAAAAAAACGTTTTTTTAAACCATCAAATATTGAGTCTTTCAAAATTCAGCTCTCATTATTACATTGGAAACACTTAAATTTTAATGAAAACGCAAACAAGCTTTATGAAAAGTTCTTTGAAACATTCATCTCTGTTTACGAATCTAATTTCCCAATTGTTACAATTACATTAAAAACAAAACATTTTGATAATCCCTGGATTACTAAAATCCAAAACTAAGCAAAAACTATACATAAAATATCTGAAAACAAAAACACCAGCAAGCGAAAAAATTTATAAAGATTACAAAAATCTTTTCGAAAAAATCCGAAAAAATTTAAAAAAACTTACTATTCAAAATTAATTAATAAAGTTAAAAATTACTCAAAAAGCACTTGGCTAGTATTGAAAGAAATAACTGGAAAACAAAAAACATGCTCAAGCTCTTTGCCACAAATGCTTAAACTCGATAGCAATAGCTTGTATGAACCACAAATAATAGCTCATAAATTCAATAAATATTTCACTGAAATTGGATCAACTCTGTCAAGTAAAATACCAAAAACCCAAACCTCATTTTATGATTTTTTGATACCTATTAATAAAAATATTTGCTCTGAAGAATTATCTGCCGAACTATCATTTGATGAGTTTGAAAAAGCTTACAAATCTTTAAAAAAAATAAAGCACCTGGTGCAGATGAAATAAACGGAAATATTGTTATAGATTGCTACAAACAATTAAAAAAAGTATTATTTTTAAAATTTTCAGAGCATTCATCCATCAAGGTATATTTCCTAAACGTTTAAAACTTGCCAGGGTTAGCCCAATCCATAAAGAAGGCGACAGATACAATATCAGTAACTATCGTCCCATCTCTGTTCTTTCTATATTTTCTAAAATTTTAGAAAGAATTATCTTCAATAGGGTATGCAATTATTTTAATTTCAACAACTTACTTCATAACAATCAGTATGGTTTCAGAAAAGGGCGTTCAGCTGAACATGCCATTATTCAATTTATACATAACATCTCTGAATCTTTTGAAAAATCCCAATATACACTGGTGTTTTTATTGATCTATCAAAAGCTTTTGATACATCACATTTTAATCCAATTAATTATGCGGATCGCTTTTCACATTCAAAATATTTTTTTGATTATATGAAGGTTCTAGATGTTTATAAACTGAACATATTTAATGTCTTATGTTTTACTTTTATATGGAAAAGCAATTTATATTTATTTGTTTTTAACGACCTTTTTTCTATAAAACCAATTAATAAATACACATTAAGAAATAATAGTTTTTTAAATGAACCTTTTTGTAGAACAAAGTTCAATTAATTTTGTATTGCATATCGTGCACCGCATCTTTGGAATAAAATAGTATTACCAAATTTTGATCCTTCTATTACTCTTCCTGTTTTAAAAATTAAGTTTAAAAAGTTCATTCTCTCTATGGACAACATTCTAAAATTCTATTAAAAATGTATGTGAAATGTATTTGTTAAATCTTCAACTTATTATATATTAAAATGTGTTGTATCTTTGCATAAAGTAAATACGTTAAATAGTAAAGTTAAATAGTAAAGTTTCTCTCTCTCTCTCTCTCTCTCTCTCTCTCTCACACACATTGTAAACTAAAAAAAAAAAAAAAAAAAAATCAAATGTGTTTATTAAAGTTATTTTCAAATAAATTATTATTAACTAAAACAGCTAGTGCATTTATAACATATAACTTGTATAAAGATGATTTAAAATTCAATCTTTATACAAAAAATCTTACTATATTTTTAAAAATTTTATATGCAATCAGAGGCGATTCTACGAATAAAATGATGGTAGGGGGGGGGGGAGTTGAATCCTTCAAAAGTACCGACTGATTTCTTCAAATTAAAATAAGTTTTAATTTAGCTAAATTAAATATTGGAAACGAAAAACAAAAAAACGAAAATGTGAAAAATAAAAAAATCGAAGAAATAAGAAAGAAAAAACGAGTAAAAACTAAAAATATAAAAATTAAAAGCTTTATTTAAAAGTTTAAGAGTGTTTTATTGTTTTTTAAAAAAGATGAGCGATTCTTAAAACTTTATTATTGAAACTTGACTAGAAGACAGGATGACTTGACTTGATTTTTAATCTTGACTAAAAGGTGTGCATTTTTTGCTTGTGGGTCTTTATTCTTTGTTGAAATATTTAAACAATGCTGAAATAATACGATGATGAAAATAGGTGTAGAGGAATTCCGGCCTTATTGTTGTTTTTTCAGATCAATTCGCTTCTGGCTGTAATTAAACTTTTTTTTTTTCCTTTTTTTTTTATTTATGACACAGGCTATGTAAATAGATCAAAAAGTCATTATTCTACGAAGCAATGAAGAAATATAGGTAAAATTTGGTCATTGGCTATTAACTTGTGAATTAAACAGAATTTTTATTTTAATTTTATTTAAAAAGTTTTTCAACTTTCTTCATAGTTTTTTTTTTTTATAGTTGTGTTGCACCCGATTCTTAATCTGTTTGTTGTTTTCGGATTAATTTTTGAACATAAAAATAATTTGTGTGTGTGTGTGGTTGTGACAAACATTAATAATATATATAATTATATATACGGAAAAACTGTTGTTATATATAAATACATATAAGTATTATTTATATATACGGAAAAACTGTTGTTATATATAAATACATATAAGTATTATTTATATATATACAAAAATTATATATAAAATATCCTTTCAACTATCCACCAACTTAATAACCAAATTTGTTATCCAACCACAACACTTATCCGAAGCATAAACCTCAAATCCAATATTCAGTCATCTAATTAGATCCTTAACATTCCAAAATGTCCGCCTACGAATTGTATGAAACATCGTCCATTTCGCCTTCTTTAAACCCAATAGACCTGCTTGAAAATTAGCCGGGTCCTGCAAAAAAGGCAAGGCTGCTTATTTACCTAAAAGCTGTGACGCTCTCTATCTACAACAGTCAAATTACTGCTTGAAAAAGTAGCAGCCCTCAAAAAAACCAACACCAAC